CAGCGTGGCGGAAGGCCCGGATTTAATTCATAATGATATGCTCCGGCAACTTCCACTAACAGCAACACAAGCTATGTTGCTGGCATTCAACCAGGGAGGAGAATTCCCCACCTCTTGGCGGGAGTCGCTCATAGTTCCGTACCTGAAACATGGCAAGAATGGGAGGAATCCATCTGACTGCCGTCCAATTGCGCTGACCTCCTCTATGTGCAAACTCCTGGAGCGGATGGTTCAGACACGGTTGTCTTGGTTTTTAGAAAGCAACAATATCTTCTCGAACGCGCAGTGTGGTTTCAGGAAAAACCGTAGCACCGTTGATCACCTTTTAGCCTTGGACTCAACTGTGCGCATTTCTTTTAGGGAAAGGCGACACGTAGGAGCTGTGTTCTTCGATATTGAAAGGGCTTACGACACCACCTGGCGATATGGCATCTTAAGGAAGCTGTTCCAGTATGGCACACGCGGAGCTATGCTTACCTTTCTTGCGAACTTTCTTGCTGACCGTTTCTTCCGCGTCCGTGTCGGTTCCGTATGCTCGAAAAGATACACACAAGAGAACGGCATACCCCAGGGCAGTATACAAGTGTTGCGTTGTTTGCCGTCATGATAAATGAGGTTGGGGACAGTCTTCCCCAGGCGATTGGTCGCTCGCTTTTTGTTGATGACCTCGCCATCCGGTGCAGCTCTGCCACAGCAGCGTCCATGTCGCGTCAGTTGCAGCTGGCTGTGACTCGCTTGGAAAGATGGAGCATGCTCAACGGGTTACGGTTTTCGACCTCGAAGACAGTTTCCGTCCACTTCTGTCGACGCTGGCGTCAGTGTCCCGACATGGTGCTTAAGCTTTATGGACAGTCGATCCCCTGCAATGCGGCGGCACGGTTTTTGGGATTACATTTTGATAAGCGTTTGACCTACAAGGAGCATCTTACCACTCTGCGTAACAAGTGTTTTAAGACACTGAACATATTGGAATGTGTGGCACGAACATCATACGGAGCAGATCGGAAAACACTTTTATTATTATTCCGTTCACTGATTCGCCCCAAACTAGACTATGCTTGTTTTGTATGTGATGGCGCCTCTGAGTCCGTAAAACGTACAGTGAATGCGGTCCATCATGCTGCGTTGAGAATCATTACTGGTGCATTTCGTACGTCTCCGACAGCCAGCTTGCTTGTGGAAGCCAGCGAACCTTCGCTGGCTGCCCGAAGACAGTTGTTGGGCATGCGGTACGCTTGTAAGCTTGCGCAATTCCCGAACCACCCAACACATGACGCTGTGTTCTCACGCCACATATCCAATGCTTTTCAGTCCGAACAAGGCGCCGTTCTGTGTGCGTGTTCGTAATGTTCTTCTTGAGAGTGGCTTAAGTTTTCGGGGTGTGGCACGCCCACGAGCCTGCCGACCGCTCCGTGGGTGATGGTATCGCCAACTGTCGACGTCTCATTGTCGGAGGTTCAGAAGCAAAATATGATTCCGTACGTTGCCAGATCAACAGCTTTGAAGCATATCGAAACATATCGGGGGTTCACAATTACGTATACAGACGGCTCGAAAACGCATACGGGTGTTGGTTCCGCTTTTGTGTGTGGTCCCGATACGCGATCATTTACACTGCCAGCCCACGCGTCCGTGTATACTGCAGAGCTTGTGGCCATAATTAAGGCTCTTTGCTTTATAGAGGTGGGCGAAGACAGTCTGCACGTGATTTTAACGGATTCGCTAAGTGCCCTTCCGGCACTAAGGCGCTTTAACCCGGTAAATCCCCTTATACAGGATATTTTACTGCGTCTCGACTCTCTGTACCGGGCTGGCAAGACCTTAGTACTTTGCTGGATTCCGAGCCACGTTGGCATTGCGGGAAATGAGCTGGCTGACTCTGCTGCAAAGCGTGCTACTCGTCGTCCCTGTCGCAGAGCGTTTCCGATACCCGCCACAGACCTGTACTCAGCCATCTCTTCCTTTTTGCGCGGGGAATGGCAGAACACATGCGATACGATGGGCACCACTAAACTGAAAAAACATCAAGCCGGTTGTTCAGGAATGGCAGCCATCCTATCGAAAGTCGAGACGGGAGGAAGTAATCCTGTGTCGCTTGCGGATTGGCCATACTTATGCTGCACATCGATACCTACTATGTCACGACAAACTACCACGATGTCGCCACTGCAACACCACGCTCACAGTGGAACATGTGCTCATATGCTGTCCCATACTACGCGACGAGCGTCTGAGGTTCTTCGGCCCGGCGGCGCGTCCCTGACGCTCTCCGATTTACTAGGTGACGGCTCACCACATATTGAACATACCCTCAGGTTCGTATCGCATGTTAAGTTCTGCACTTTATATACACCTGCCTGAATAGTTTATACCGTGTTTAGGAAGTTTTTAAGCTGCCGAAAGCTTCGTATCAATGACGCGTTCCTGACACAACTCAGCCATTTTCATTTCCGAGTGATATATATATATATATATATATATATATATATATATATATATATATATATATGTGTGTGTGTGTGTGTATATGTATATATTTGGTCATTTATCGCCGTAGGCTGTAATTTAGCTGTTATGGGCGCAAAATGACCACAGTAGTCGACGCGCCCTAAAACTCTATCAACAACAACAACAAAGGCTGTCGTGTGCTATTCAACACTGATGGGGTGCTGGTACGGCATTGATATTGCGTTTGCTTCCTTTGAAGTGGAAATGGCACTTAAGCATGCTATTTGCGTGGTTAATAGAGCTCATGAGACAAGACTAAGCTGGCCAAGACTAGACGCAAATTAGACAGTGAAAACCACTCCTTGTCATGTGATTTTAGGATAATGACAGAGTCAGACGAGTGTCTTGAAACAGCTGGATGTTTTAGCTCTTTGCACACCAAGAAAACCTGGTAATGGTTAAAATGGTATCAAATGCAACATTTTGTGATCCAGTTCAAGCTCAGCTAACAACTGAACTTGTGTATACTTCATAGGGCCCAGAATTTAGGCTTTGATTTGAACCCTCACAGTAAAAAATTGTGTACAAAACACATAAAAAATTGGTATTGCTGGTTTGGGCCTTGCACACTGCTTGCAGCACCACAGATTTATTGGAATGACTGATTGACAGGTGTGTGACAAAATGTTTTTTATTGTCATCATATTATATAGAGAGCTAAATGAAGGTGCTAGAGGTGTTCACAAATGTCCTGTGCATCTGCTGATAACAAAATTGTATGCCTTTCGTACCAGGTTCTGTTGATTGAGACTGTGCTAGGCAGTAAGAGGCCCACACCGGTGATACCCAAATTTCAACTTTCCAGACATTGCCTAAGTGTGCAAATTCACATGGAACTTGTTATCAAATTGCCTTGCTATTGTCTGAGGGGAATATGCAATGAAATTCCAGCTTGCAGCCCACTTTCAACCACAAATTTTGTTTGGAGCACAAAGACACAACCAAACATGACCCCGTCTAAGGGGCATGTTCTGTGTCATGAAATATGAATGCCACCTAACTACCACTCCAACTCATAAGACATCTGCAAATTGTGATGGGGCCATGGTGACAATTGTGGCAAAAACAGGAATGTGGCAAATTGTGGTATGGTCATATTTGTGATGCATGATACGCATTTGTTACATAATGCAAGACAGCGTTCAGATCATTAAGGTGACATGGTCATAATGTGCATCACGGCTCTGCTGGGCGTAATACTTGCAAAATGTGGACCACATTGAATCAGGCTGGGGTGAAAAATCCTGTGGAAGGTGCATGAGGTGCATTTTGAAGATGCATTTTTTGTTTCTGTTCCAGGTACCCCATCATGACCTGAACCTGCTGAGGAAGTGGATCACTGCCAAAAGACATCAGGGACAAAAGCAAAGGGCAAGGAAGCTCTCTCAGAGTGCACTTATATGCAGTGATCACTTCATGGAGGCTGATTTTGAACCATACCTTGAACGCAGAATGCTGCGTGAGGGAAGCATCCCATCATGGTTCATGTTCCCCGAGCAGACAAAACCAGTGGCACGAAAAATCCCCAAAAGCCTGTCAGCCCATGCACAACTCCACCCAAGCCAAGCATGTCAGGCAGCTGGCTTCTCGGGCAGCCACACCAGCCCCCTCCAGAGGAGGCACAAGTGCAGCCTGCCCCAGAGGAGGTGCTGCTGCAGCCTGCTCCAGAGGAGGCGCTACTACAGCCTGCCTCAAAACTGCAACAGCTTCAGCCTGCACCAGAGCAGCAACTGCTACAGCACACCCCAATGAATCTCCAACATCACCCAGGTGGCCCAGGGCATAGCTATAGTGCAAGTGCAATAACTCGACGCATTTCCCGTCCGCTGAAAAAGATTGCTGCAAAGATTTGAAAATTGCGCTACGAGCAGAAGAAGCTGCGACAGAAGCTGCAGAGGCGTGACAGGCGGCTCAAGTGCCTCAAAAATACTCTGCATGCCCTCAAAGAAAGCCGGATCGTCGATGCCGACCTTCTCGAGGTGATCCTATCTCGATTTGAAAACCCAATCGTGTCAGCGCTTTTCACCAACGAAGTTGTCAATGGCGGCAGGAAGAAGCGAAGTGGCCAGAGGTGTTCTGAAGAAATCAAGAAGCTCTGCCTTACCTTCCACTACTATTCCCCGAGAGCGTATAGGTTGCTCTCAAGGAACTTCTCTCTGCCGGGTGCAACATCGCTACGAGAGTGGACGAGAAGCGTCAGCTACGAGGTGGGCGTCCTCCACGAGGTGCTACAGACGCTGTGCTGTGAAGTGACAGCCAAGAAAATTGACCCCAACTGCTGCTTGATGGTTGATGAGATGGCGATCCGGAAGGCGAATGTGTACTCGCAACCCAAAGACAAGTTCGTTGGTCACGTTGCTCTGAGTGCAGGGGACGTGGAGGATACGAGACTGGCAACAAATGCCCCAGTGTTTATGGCCGTTGGTCTCAAAGATGCGTGGCGCCATCCTGTCGCTTACTTTCTCACAGACCACGTTTCAAGTGAGACTCAGACAGAACTGGCCAAGACTGTCCTGTGTGCTTTGAGTGATGCAGGACTGAAGGTGCGAGCGTTCGTGGCTGATCGACTCCAAGCCAACCTGTCCATGTTCAGCCACTTGGGCGTTCAGAACCTGCAGCCAAAACAACTTCAGTTTCCCATTGTTCCTAACTACTTCCTGCATCCTGCAACCAACCAGCAGGGGTATGTTCTGCTGGATGTGGTGCACATGCTGAAACTGCTGCAAGGCCTCCTTGGTGAATACAAGAGCCTTCAACTGGATGGTGAAGAGGCATCCTGGAAGTATATTCAGGTAAGAGTATGCCAAATTTAATAGAAGTAGTAATGATTTAGTAGTAAATGATTTAGTGGTAATTCAGTCCCAGCAAAACCAAGTATAATGCTAAAAGACTACTTTTTACTTAAGTATCACTCTGTTTTTCTGCATACATCTATCCCATCATCTGTGTAGTTCGCGTCTAGATGCATGGGTAGAGACTTGAGAGAGACTTAACTTAATCTGAGAGCATGGCGATACTCTTGCACTAATGACTGAACCTGTTCAGCTCGTTTTCAGCATTCTGCAGCCAAGGTAAAATAACGATTGTGGATACCTTCACAGGCGCTGTACGACATGCAGCACAGCGAGGGTATCCGGGCGGCCCAACAAGCTCTCTCGCCTGCACGTCCAGTGCAAAAAGAACAAAATGAAAGTTAAGATTGCTGCCCAGCTGTTCAGCAGCTCGGTGGGCAAAGCTCTGCTGTACCTAGAAGAGTCGGGCCACCATGAGTTCATCGGAGCGGGGGTAACGGCGTACGTCATCCTGCGTGTTGATCAGACATTCGACTACCTCAACAGCAGCAACCCCTATGGGAAGGGCTTCAAGACTCCTGTAACTGCCAACAACTTGATGTAAGTTAAAGTAATTAACATTAAGAACAACCTGATAAATCAAAAGTGTGTGTTTTCTTTCCCCTAAGGAAATATATTGGGATTGCCAAATACCAGCCATCACATACACAGCATCAACAATCATGCTAGTGAAATGTTCTTTGAAAATGGCATTGGCATATGGCGTGATGTGCTTTTGCGTTTGATCGCCTGTTATCCCCATAGGCAGATCAAGCGATAGGAGCAAAATGTCCCAAAGTGAAACGTGGGGCAAAAGTATGCATTATTTCCCTACAGCTGGCCACTTATGTCTTATGCTCCCCCACCCCCACCCCATCCCCCACCTTCCAATCACCAGGTGAAATTGGCCATTCAGGCATGTATGGGCAATCCCCACCGGTCGCCGGTCAAGAACGCGTGGACTGCCCGCTCCCCCGCAAACAAAATGGAACGACTGGGCGACCTCTGGTTATCAGCAATTCATTTTGAACATTATGTTGTGAGGGCGGTTTGTGGACGACCAATTGCCTCAGTAAAGGCTATAGATGTCGCTGTTATTCCTTTTTGAGTGTTCTGACCGATAATCATTTCCGTTAGGCTCCGACGTGAGTTTGTGGCCGACTTCAGTTCCGTGCTGTTCCGGCTGCAGACAGCATCAGGCGAACCGGTACTGCAGATGGGACGCTTCACCCCGGTCCCGGGTCTCTGTCTCGCGACGCAGACCGTCATGGACGTCAGTGAGGCTAGAGGAGGAGGAGGGGTTCGTCTATGTACTGCTGGAGGAGGGGTTCATCTATGTACTGCCATACAGGATGTCCCAAGACCATCTAGAGCTGCTGTTCGGCCGGATCCGACGTATGGGCGGCTTCAACAACAACCCAAACGTGGCCCAACTGCAACATGCCATGCGCAGACTCATACTGCACAACTTCATATCGCCATCTGCCACCGGGAGCTGCACGTCACGGGATGACGGTGACGACGACCTGCTCCAGATCCGTCGTCCAAAACGGCAGCGGCCGACGCTCAGCGAGAGTGGCCCCATGCCGGCGGTCGTGCAGCATCTCCTCACGACGGAGGACACCGGCTCGGGGTTCGTTGACAACTGTGTTGGCCACATTTCCGGCTATGTGTACCCCAAGCTGGTGGAAACGGGCGCGATCGGGTGTGGCGAGTGCATTGGTGCACTTCTGTGCAACGAGGACGACCCTCCGTCGCATGAGGTGATGGGTCTCGTTAAAGTGCGGGACAACGGCGGGCTGCTCATCGCGTCAGCGTCGACGTACGCGATCGTTACGGCAGCTGAGCGGCATTTGACCGCTTTGCATAAGTGTGGTAAGATGGACCGAGCGAAACTGTCACTGAGTATCCAGTGCAGTGTCCTGGCGCAGCTAATGACTGAATGCAGCCACGAACTGTTCCCCGATGTGCAAGACGACATGTTCGAGCCGCGAGCGGATGAGTGCCATGCTGTGGTAATGGTAAAACGGATCGTGGCCAGGTATCTGCGTGTCCGCCTCCACGCCTATGGACAAAATGCTGCAGTGAGTGGAATGCTCCGTACCCATTTGAGGCACAACCTGTACAAGCAGGTGCTCTTTGCACACCAGTAGTCAAATACATCAGTAAATATATTTGCTGGTGACCGCAAGTAGATTCACCAGTTACGTAGTTTTGGGGCTGTAAGGTACGTGGACACGCAAGTCTTGTGCATTAGCATTGTTGTACGGTGTACATACTCTGAACAACATAATATACTATGCGTAGTTTTGGGGCTGTAATGGATGTCGACGCGTAAGTCCTGTGCGTTAACGTCAATAGCACGGCGTGCATATTCGGAATAACATGATACACTATGCGCATATATCGGTGCCTACACAGCTCGCAGGAGTACCGAGCCGATGGTGCTGGACATAGCTTGTATTCTTGTAACGTACCGAACCGAGACATGAGCTGTGGTCTTATCTGAGTGTGGATGGGGACAGACCTATTCTCTCACGCAGGTGAACAGCATGCATGCAGTGCATACAAAGGGATAACCATGGCCTGAACTCTAGGAAGAACTCGGTTACTTCGCCCATAAACAACGACTTAAGAATGTCCTCCGTCTCCCAACAGGCTGATGCGAATGATGGCATTGGCGTCAGTCGAAGTGCCGCCCGCGAAAAGTCGTGCTTTCCAACGATTTTGGGTCATCGATCCGACCTGGGAGAACCCAACTGTCGAATACATTTAAAACTGGATACAGTTGGCTAACACTCATGACAATTATCTTGCTCGGCTTTGCTTCTGACTATCTCAAGCCGAAGCCACAAGCCAGGAGAGGGTGATGCGAGTGGCTCGGCCCCTCCGCCCGCTGGAATGTTGCAAAGGACCACATCCGGATGAGGGTTAAGAACAACTGTTTCCAGCGTTATCGCTATGGCATCTTTTGTCTTAGAAGGACCATCTGTTTTCTTCTGAGACCAGATATTACCCTGCTCCCCCCCCCCCCCCCACACACACTTCTGCTACGACGCAAAATTGCAAAATCGGCATGCCTAGATCAGTCTGTCAAGCCGCTACCCATGCCCTTGGAGCGACCTTTGCTGTGCCGTATTGCGTAAAATTGACGTCTTAAGCAGCCCCAGAATTTTCAAGGCCCTCGCTCCCATCATTTCCCAATCACACGCCTACGAATGTCGGCCATGCGCCATAGGATTATCATTGCGAAGCTAACTCTTGCCCCTCCCCGCGTGGTGGCGCTAGTGTCGCAAAACGGGAACAACCGGCCGGTCGCCGCGCCAATGGGAGTAGGCTATTTAGACTTGTATAGGCCGATGGTGTAGATCAACTCAGATCTGAGTCGGTTTACACAGGAGTGGCATTCTGTGTAAATCCACTTCGTAGTGGATTTAAGCAGAGGAACTGTTCTGTGTATATGTACTCATGAGTTGATTTACACGCGTCCAAAGCGCAAAAGCGATGTTGCGGTACATATGGCACACTGCTCGGAAGATTGACTGTTAGCAAGGTTTGACTGCTGGATGCGTGTCGCGAACGTAAGCGTAAGCACTTTCGGGTTGGGCGGCGGTCGTCGCGGGCGGGGCATTTTTGGGGCATGGGTCAGTGTCAAAAAAGAACGCAACTGTCTGAAAACGGTATCAAAAAACGGGCACTCTTAAAAGTAGCTCTAGTTGTGTTTTTAAGATAAACAAAATTTTAGATTTAAGTTTTTTCTGCTACTGACGTATGTTACGTTGCTCATCGCCCTGTCGGCGGCGCACTTACCAAGTCAGAGGAAAGGTGTGGATGCCAGCTATGTCGGGCCGGATTGTTGTTTTAGGAGGAAATAATCCTTCTGTCCCTGTTACATTTACATCCAGGCCCCTATCACACAGCAGCTGGATGTCCCAGACGGCGTGGCTGAGAACATAAGTTGGGGCAATGGGTAAACAGGAAGTCATTACATTCAGATAAACTGTGCGCATTACGTTGTTTTCGTGAATCTTATGAATTTTTTTCCTCAAAGCTGGGTAATGCGGCTAGGGTCCCATCCAACTGAATAGAAAATCGCACCTCTGATCGCAAGCTCATTAGGTTCGTAGTTCGTATCTAGGCCAATAGAAACTGGTGGGTATCACATTGTCCCAGCATCTGAGATGAGAAAGATACTACTTTGGCTGGCTAGTAGCTGCTCTGCCATGTGCCAGATGTTGGATTTCATTTTATTAGAGCGGGCTGCATGAGTTTCATTCATAACTTTGGTATGCTGTGCCCTGGGGTATTATGCTACAGGTGCACAATGTTTTAGGTGTCAGTTTCTATCACCCATAATTGAGGCACCCTTGTAAGTAGAATGTTGATATAAGCAGCTTTTTGTGTCTTAACTTCAAAAAGTACAGATGGTGTGAGCATACAATTAGGAAGGAAATGCTTAGAAAGCCCAAAGCATTCAGGGCTACAAGCTACTAATTGTCAAAGGCCTCAGGCCATCACTGAGATTAGTTAGTGCATGGTATGTATTGTCATCTGCTTCTCTTCTCATTACAATCCTTAGTTTTGAAATGTTTGTTCTCTTTCCCTAAAAAGCCAAAACCAAATTTCCAACATAACCCATTTATTGTATTATTCTAGAGTTTATTTTGGAAAATTCAGTGCATGGAACCACTAGTAGCTCTATATTGTATTAGTGAATGCTGTTAGGATATATGTATGCTGTAGCTACACATCATTGACATTTGATTTGTGTCATGCTTGAATGAAAGAGATGGTAAGTGTCCATGGGTGTTTCAGGCACTGAGCTTCACATTATTTGAGGCTGGAGCCATGAAGTTCAAAGTCAATGCCAAATTACTCCCTGTGAAGGCATGCTACTTCTTCTTTTTTGGAGGTGAGTACAAACATGCAAATTGTGTTGATCTTTCAATTGGCTAGGAAACCCCTGTTAATGGTCTTGCCTAAGGTGTTGTGAACAAATGATGTAGAAGACATTGTTAATGAATGATGTTGTTTCTGCCATTGAAGCAGGTGGTAAATGATTACTCTATAGTTGCTCTAACTCATATATATCCACTTATGGTGTGCATAGTAGTGGCTATTTTGCTTTGGCTTAGTGTCATTGACCACATTTCTCAGTAAAAGTGAGCAAAGCTTAGTTCAGTGCAGTGTCAGATATGTGCACTGCTATACAATACCTCAGGAAATACAAGATCATGTTACTCTGCAGACATGTTAGCTGTAAGTATAGCTGGTACAGTTGGAAGCAGTTTTTGTCTGTCGCCTAGCTGTCACTGATTGAGTATGTGTGTATGCTTCAGCTGACCAGCATTGCACCATCACCCCTCAGGTGTGGCACCAATACTGCCATTCCTGCCAGTGTATGCACACCAGCTGGGGGTGTCAGAGGTGGGTGTGGGCACCATCTACCTGGCACTGCCCGTGCTGGCTTCGCTGATGCGGCCGCTGGTGGGCGGGCTGGCCGATGCCACACACCGACACAAGCTGGTGTTCCTGCTGCTGCTGACCGTGACAACGGTCGGCTACGCGGCGCTGCACTTTCTGCCGCCGCTGCCGGCTGCGCCGTCGGCCCTCTCAGCTGATGTGCAGCTGGACTGCGGCGGCCAGACGTTCGTGCGCGTGTGCGCTGGGCAGCACCCCTCCTGCCACGCCCAGCAACTCGCGGCCGCCGCGCACAACGCCACCGCCTTGTGCCAGCTACAGTGCGACCAGTGGCCCGACTGCGGCTCGGCCTGGTGCCGCTCGGCGTCCGTGGCGCCGCCGCCGCTGCAACTGCAGCTGGACCTGAATGGCGCCGACCTGGAGGGCCGCTGGCCTCTTCCTGCCGGTGTGGAACGTGTCGGGTGGCGAGGGGCCTCACAGCCGTCCGACCTGCCGCAGCGCTCAGACAGTCAGCTGTCGCCTCAGCTGCGACGACGCGACGCTCATGAAGGCGCTCGACGCCAAAGCGGTCGACACGGGCGCCTACTATCGCACCAGCCAGTTCTGGTTGATGGTCTTGTTCCTGGTGCTGGCATGGGTGGGCACCTCGCTGAGCGTGCCGCTGGCGGACTCCATCGCCTTCAAGCTGCTCGGTTGGTACGGGCGGTCGAACCTGACTGTAGCTTTGCTCAGCACTGTAGTAGATGCCAGGCCCCACTCCACTACCTTTACATCGAGCAGTAGCAGACTGTAGCAAACGCGAAGCTCAGCCCCACTGTCGGTGGCTGGTCATTAGCTCAAGTACCACTGGTATTAAAGTAAATTGTGTTGCTCTTGTTTGTGACGTGGATGTGGTTTTCCAATGGTTCCCTGTGATGATCACAAGGTGCTGTTGCCTGAGCGAGCGGCTTGGCGTGCTGAGGCCGAGAAACATGTGCGTGGCTTACCGGGGCCGTGTGTGTCCGTCTGCCGCTGCGACCGCCGCGCTCTCGTACGCCGCAGACGATCCGGCTCGGTACGGCTACCAGCGCGTCTGGGGATCGATCGGCTGGGGTGCCTTCAGCTTCCTGTCTGGCTACCTGGTGGACGTGGCCAGCGCGGGCCGCCACGCCAAGGACTACTCCCACGCCTTCTACCTGCTCGTCGGACTCATGGTGCGTGCGACGCGCTCGGCGGGTGGTGCTGGCCGCGCGCAAGCGGTGGCGGTGGTCGGAGGTGTCAGCCAGACGCCAGACGGCCCCGGGTCAGTTTGGCTGGGGACGGTGGATAAGGTAGGCAGATGCCGCGTTTGGTGGCACATCTTGCGTCTTTATTTTGACTCAATCGGTCTAAAACCTGAAGACCTGGTCGTGTTCTGTAAGCTGTCGGGCAATGTCAAAACGACGCGTTACACCTTTTCCGACAATGGGAGAGCGTGGTTTGGGTATTTGAACTCAGTAACCATTCCTTCATATCAAGACTTTCGATGCCTCATGTTTGGCCTGCTTTTCGAACATTGTGTTGCCTATCGAACCAGGTAATTGGTGATGACCTGCGTACGACGGGCCAACATCAATCCTTGGCTTGTACGTTGACACTTGTAGCTTCATGAACGGTTGCTCTGAAGTGAAGACGTACTCCGGCGCCTGGCTGGCATGCCGCACGTGGCCCGTCCGCCTCTGGAAGCCATGTCACACGTGGCCCGTCCGCCTCTGGAAGCCATGTCACACGTGGCCCGTCTGCCTCTGGAAGCCATGTCACACGTGGCCCTCTGCCTCTGGAAGCCATGTCACACGTGGCCCGTCCGCCTCTGGAAGCCATGTCACACGTGGCCCGTCCGCCTCTGGAAGCCATGTCACACGTGGCCCGTCCGCCTCTGGAAGCCATGTCACACGTGGCCCGTCCGCCTCTGGAAGCCATGTCACACGTGGCCCGTCCGCCTCTGGAAGCCATGTCACACGTGGCCCGTCTGCCTCTGGAAGCCATGTCACACGTGGCCCGTGCCTCTGGAAGCCATGTCACACGTGGCCCGTCTGCCTCTGGAAGCCATGTCACACGTGCCCGTCCGCCCTCTGGAAGCCATGTCACACGTGGCCCTCCGCCTCTGGAAGCGGAAGCCATGTCACACGTGGCCCGTCTGCCTGGAAGCCATGTCACACGTGGCCCGTCCGCCTGGAAGCCATATCACACGTGGCCCGGGTGCCTCTGAAGCCATGTCACACGTGGCCCGGGTGCCGCTGGGAGCCATATCACAGGTGGCCCGGGTGCGGCTAAGAGCCATATCACACGTGGCCCGGGTGCGGCTGAGGGCCATATCACACGTGGCCCGGGTGCGCTGAGCCATACCACAGGTGGCCCGGGTGCGCTGGGAGCCATATCACGGTGGCCCGGGTGCCGCTGGGAGCCATATCACAGGTGGCCCGGGTGCGGCTAAGCCATATCACAGGTGGCCCGGGTGCGGCTGAGGGCCATATCACTGGTGGCCCGGGTGCGGCTAAGCCATATCACACGTGGCCCGGGTGCGGCTGAGGGCCATCACGGTGGCCCGGGTGCAGCTGAGGCCCATATCACAGGTGGCCCGGGTGCGGCTGAGGGCCATATCACAGGTGGCCCGGGTGCCGCTGGGAGCCATATCACACGTGGCCCGGGTGCGGCTGGTGTCACGCTGCCACTCTCGTCGTGCTGCCAGGTGCTGAACATCATAGTGTGCACGCGGCTGCGGTGTCGTCTCTGAAGGAGGCGCGGCCCAAGTTCCGGCAGGACTAGGGGCGCTGCTGCGACGGCCACGTGTCCTCCTCTTCCTGCTCAGCTGCTGCCGTCGTCGGCACCATGACCGGCGTCCTCTGGACATTCTTCTTCCTGTGAGCAGAATGCCTAATTGTTCAGCCGCGGGAATGGAATGGGAGTTGGGCGTGAGCTTTTGCGTGACTGTTGGCTCTAGTGCGGGAGCCTGCCAGCGGTCTTGGGCTTTGACTGAACTGTCGGCCGTTGTTCGGACGTGAGACGCTTCCATGTATGCACACTGGGCCTGGAGGGATGTGTTTGAAGAGAGCGGGATGCTGGGCTTGCGACGCGCTCCTGGAGGCTTGTATTCGAATAGTATGAGGTCTAGGCTGAGACGCGTAATCGGTGGCCGGTGTCAGTTTTTTCCTCGGTACTTCTTACTGGACGGTGTTGTGGGCGATTGACGACAGTGACCCAAGCAGTAACAAGCGTCGCAGTATTTTGAGCCACTGTTTGGCTGGACTCCAGCTGCAGTTTGATCTGTTGTTCCGTCCCCGTCCAGCCATCTGCAGGACGTGCCCTGGCGTGGGATTGTTCGGCTTACGAGTGATCAGCATCATCTCCGGAGGTACCCTGCTGGTGCAATGCTTCTTCGGAAGGTGCCCTTCTTCTATATCGGGTGAGGCGTCTGCTCGTTACGACTGGGGAGGTTTTCAAAATTATCGGTCAGAGTTTTATTATAAGAGTAGTGCTTAACACTGTCGAAGCATGAGCATGTATATCTCATTCGAAGCTCACGAGATGACACGACTGACATGGAACATAGACGCTGATACCCGGGCTGATGCTTTGAAGATGGTGGTCCCTTTTTCGTATGTGTTAGTGCCAGGATCGGTGAAAACGAGGTGCCCACTTTCCGTTACCAAGACCATATCATGTTCAATTGCTGGCAATTGATACGGCATCTGTTAAAGCTGGCGGGTAATTGTAGCGACACTCAAAGGTACGCATTCACGAGTGACGAGAAGCAACTACTCGTCCTTTGCGGTGCGCAGCGTTTTCCAGTTGGTTTCTTTGTATTGATCCGCCATCGACTTCTTGTTCAGTTTTGTGTCTCGCGGTCAGTTAGCGTGTGCCATCGTGCTCAGTCATGGCCTTGTGACTAGTGTATCAGCAACGAGCGGTTTGTAGCAGTTATTGCACTCTTAATGGGGTTTTAATACTGACGTGGCCGCGCTCTGCCTGCACAGTACGTCTGCGATCAGTGCCTTGAACGTTGAAAAGCGCGCTGACAGAAATTTTACGTGGATCTTGCAAATCGCACATGCTGAAATCCCGGCCTATGTTCAGCCACAGGCACGTCGGGGGCGGACAAGCGGGCTCATTGTGACTGCTGTCCCGGACTTTTGCTATGCTCGCACTGTATAACGGGTGGTGATGCCGTGTGCGCATCTACTTCGTCCCGAGCTGCGCTACTGCACATGGCCCCGCATGTCTTCGACGTCCGGCGTCGACGGCCGCTGCAGGTGGGACCCATTGTTCATTGTCACGTATCGCTCTCTCACACTGCTCTGTCCCTCTCCCAGCCTGGATCATTGGAAACTGGGTCCCGTTCACACGCAAACGGTGGTGCTGCTGTGCGTTCGGCGTGCGCTTCCTTCCTGCTGTACTCGCTGGCTGCTGCGCCAACCCTGGCTGGTGTTGCCCGTGGAGCTACTGAACGGCTGTCTTGTTCGGCCCGTTCTACGCCAACAGGTGGCGTACGCCTGCGTGATCGCACCGCCAGGTTGGTGGGCACCGGCCGACTGGGTCGGCGCCGCGCCGTCGCTGCCGCCGCTGCTGTCGCCGTGGTCGCCGCACGGCGTGCGCTGTATGGCGCCACAGCGCGCCGGGCACCTGGCCTTCCGCGGCTGTCTGTAGTCTGGCCACCGACGTGACACTGTGTTCACGCCCGCGCTAACTCGTGCTTGTTGCGTGAGCTCTTTCCTACCATCCCAGCGTGAAATGTCCGTCACCAACATCATTATTGTAAAACTCGATGTGCCGTAATGCTCTGTACCCGCCGTCCTGCCCTCTGACGTCACCTGACACCACCTGACATTTAGCGCGGTTGCTGCCGCCAGTTGGAGGCCACCTCAGTCAGGGACAGGGAGTGAGCGTCTTAAGCGAAACGAACTCACCCCGCCACGGGTGTGTGAATCGGAAGGCAGGCGATCTACCCAACGGAGCTAGCCGCCAGCCGGCACTGACCGGTTGGCCGTGACCCGTTGGTGTCGTGAGCGCTGCGGGCGCGGCCGGCCGCCACTGGGCGGCGCTTGACCGGCGTTGGTGTTGTAGGCATGACGGCCACGCTGCAAGGCCTGGTGGGCGCGTCGTTCGAGTGCGTGGGGGTGGCCATCGGCAGCGGCACTGGTGGGCTCCTCTACTACGCGGTCGGCGGAGCTCGCATGTTCCAGGTACTGTGGTTTCACCCGCCTTGCCGCTGGTCGGCCAGCCAGCTGGCTGCTTCGTCGCACAGGGGTGCTTTCAGCAGTGTGGTTGTAGCAAATTAATTATATCTATCGTAAATAATCAATGTCGTTAATGTGCTTCAAGGTCACAATCCCACTCATATTTACAGTTGTCAGTAGCCGTACATAATCAAGATGCATTTACAGGGTTGGCAGAAAGTGACTGGAAAGTTCTTGCCAATCGGCTTGTACCGGTTAAAACCAGCTAGCGGAAGCTATCAATAAAATCATCCGGCAAAAATAGCGGAATATGCTCAAGGCTTTGATAATGTTACTTGGTCACATCGCACTGTACCAACCCTGTATTGGAATTTCGATGACGACACCAGTGGTGGTTTGGTGTTTGACGCCAGCGTGTACCAAGTAAGCGGGCGTACTGCGCCTGGTGTTGACGTGTCTGGGGTGACACGCAGAGGTCAGCGGTTAGAACCTGAGCGGCGCGTGAGCTGCCGCACTAAGAGCCGTCACCGTCGGACGCGATGGTGCTTAGGTTATGGTTCATTAACTGGCTGTACCTCATCGCAGCTCTGTGGGCTGAGTGTACCGTGACCACTGCTTCATCGGCTGATTATACCGTGGCCACAGCTTCATCGCCTTGCTGTACCGTGACCATCGTACCACCGGCTGGTTGTACTGTGGCGACAGCACCACCAGCTGAGTACGGTGCGATCTTGCCACATTGAGTTGTTTAAACTTGGGGCACTTCCACGGTCATGTGGCGTCCTTTATTGTTGAAACGATCTTTGCGATGAACCGTGTGCCCGTCCACGTCTCCGTTGTTAGTATGATGGGTGTTGCAGTAGGAGCCGAGCTCTGCGAGGAGCAGAGACTTCGAGCCGAGCTCCGCACGGAGCAGAGACACGTCCAAGAGTGGTTTGCTACATCTCTGGCTCCGGTATATAAGCCGCACCATGTGACCTGGCGAGAGCTTAAACCGAGAAATGACGCATATGCGGGATCGTGTTACCCAGCTCTGATAGCGTGGACCCAGCGGTGAGCCAGGCGCGTAAGGCCAGTACGCCAGCGTTGAGGACCATTAGACAGGTCTTTTGATGACCGAGATAGATTCCTTCACAGAGCCTAAAGCAGCTGTTCCGTCAATTGCCGGGTGCCCGCCAGTCTAGAGGTAGTATCCACTGAGTGTTGCGGCCGTCGCCCAATTTCGAACTGGCGACGTACAGCAAGAGCATGTGCAACTTGCGTCAGGACACCGTGCTCCCGCCTATGTGACGCACGGTATCCTGACGCACGGGGGTGGCGGAGACAGCTGAACGCG